GCACGTGGGACCCTGGGGACAGCGGAGCGGCCCCGGCCGTGTCACTGCTCGCAGCAGCAGGCGCCCTGGCGCGGGGAACACTCCTTTCCACTACAGTTTATGCCAGAGATAATGACCACAGACTGCTTGAACACAATCCCCTCTGGGAAAGGGTTTTCTGGGTGTGCTGGAGCCAGGGGCTGGTCCCCTGTCACACGGGTGGCTGGGCCAGGGTCCCACCCCACACAGGGCTGCCGGAGCCCCCGGGCTGGGTACTCACGGTAGGGGCAGCCGTAGAGGCCCAGGCGCAGCCCGATCTTCCCACGCGGGTTCCAGGCCACCGGGATGATGCGGATGTAGCGTGCGAGGATGGGGTAGTGCAGGTCGTGCCGTACCACCCCGCTCTCGTTCACATTCCCAAAGAACGTCTGGGGACAAAGGGCCACCATCAGCACCTCACCCCGGGCTGGGGGGGATTGTCTCTGCTCCCCCAGGGGACCTCCTCCCCCAGGGACCCCGGGCACCCCCCTACCCAGTTGCTGCCCTGCTGGAAGAAGGGTTTCCAGCTGGTGGGGTGGTCTCCGTAGAGCACGATGTAGCGGGTCAGCCAGTCGTAGGTGTTGAAGGTTCCCTGCGTGGCCACTGCGTTGATCCGGTGCTTTTGCATCAGGTCGATCTGGAGCCAGGGCTGCTTGTCCCGGGGGTCGGGGGACCAGCCGCTGGTGCCTGCGGGGGGAGCAGCTCAGCCGGCCCCACAGCCCAGCACCCAGCGGCTCCTGGCTCAGCAGGGGCTGCTTGCTCAGCCTCACCCCAGCACCCAACTGTGGGGGGGAGCTGGAGGGCTGCGGGGCTCTGCCCCACCCCTGGGGGATGCTGAGGGCTCTGCCATGGGTACCCGAGGACCCCTCAGCCCCACTTGAGGCAAGATCTCGCTGGGGACACCCCCTGCCCGCAGTCCCCTGCCCCTTGTGCACCCCAGTCCCGCGGGGGCACTCACTGTGCAGCCGCGCAAAGCTGGCCGAGTAGAAGATGTTGTATCTGGAGGAGGCACCGATGGACGAGGAGTAGAGGGGGGCGACGAGCTCATCGTAGCAGGGTCCTGCGGGGAGAGCGGGGCTGGGGCCGGGCTCGGGGAGCTGAACCGGGCAGTGTCCCTGCAGCAGCGCCCCCCGGCTCGGCCCTGCGGACCCTGCAGGACCCTGCAGGCTCCGGGGACCCCGGGGACCCTGTGGGACCTTGCGGGACCTCGCGGGACCTCGCGGGCTCTGGGGACCCTGGGGACCCTGGGGACCCTGCGGGCTCCGCGGGCCGGCGGCGCGGCGGGTCCAGCTCCCGCTCTCCCCTCCCACTGCAGCGGAGCTGACACACCTCTGCAGGCCCCGACGCCCGCACCGGCCGCCTCCGCACTGACGTGGGCACCGGGACCCCCCCGCCCCGCCCCGCCCCGTCGGGACAGGGTCCTGCGAGGGAGGCCGGGGGGGGCCCCGCGCAAACCCTCGCGGCTTCTGCAGAGGCGGCTCCCGGCGGGGCCGAGGTCCCTGCGCAGGGCCCCCCCCGGCCGGGTCAGACGGAGCCGGGGGAGCCCCAGGAGGGTTTGCTGCACCCCCAGCCCCCACTGCAGGGCCAAGGGCAGCCGCGCTGCGCCCATGGTGCATCCCCTGCTGCCTGCATCCCCCCCGCCTGCATCTCCCCCCTGCCTACATCCCCCCCCCGCCTGCATCCCCCCCCTGCCTACATCCCCCCCCTGCCTGCAAACCCCCCCTGCCTGCAAACCCCCCCTGCCTGCAACCCCCCCCGCCTGCATCCTCCCTTGCCTCCATCCCCCCTGCCTGTATCCCCCCCGCCTGCGCCGTCCCCCGCCTCCATCCCCCGCAGCCAGCGGATCTCGGGGCCACCCCGGCGCTGGGGGAAGGGGCCAAGGGCCCCGGCGCAGCGGGGCCGCAGAGAGCAGCTCGGTGAGGCCAGGGCCGTGCCGGGCCCGGGCAGCCGCCCCGCGGCCCCTCCCGCCCGGTGCAGCCCCGGTGCAGCCCCGCGGCGCTGGCCGAGGTGCTGGCGGGGCCCGGCCGGGTCCCGCGGGGCTGCCCCCGCCCGTCGGGGTGCCCGGACACGGGGCCGGGCCGGGGGGGCCGGGCCCCAAGCCCCCCTCCCCGGTACGGACACGGGGCCGCGCCGGGCGCGGGGATGCGGCGCAGCTAGGCGGGCGCCCGGGGCACCCCCGGGCATCCCCGGGCACGCCGGAACCCCCGGGCCCCCGGAGGCTCCGATCGGGTGCGGTGCAGCCGGCGGGGGGGCTGCGGTGGGGCGTCCCCGGGCAGGGCGCGGGGCGGGGGGGGGGGGGGGGACGGCGGCGCCCGGGCGCCCGTGTCCGGCGGTGACCTTGGGTACGACGCGGACCGAGGCGCCGGGGGATGCCCGGGAGAAGCGGGGGCGGCTCGGGGGGCGCGGGGCCGGGGCGGCGGGCCGCGGTCCCGCAGTGCGGAGCGGCCGCTCCCGGGGCTGCGGCCCCACTTACGTGCGAGGCAGCCGGGGCCGGGGCCGGGGCCGGGGCGCAGGAGGCCGGCGCAGGCGGCGAGCAGGAGCCCGAGCAGGCGGCGAGCGCCCATCCTGGAGCGCCCCGAGCGCCCTCGGCGCCGCCGCTCCCGGTGCTGCAGCCGCGCGGGGCCGGCGGCTCCGCCCACGGGGGGGGCGGCGGCGGCGGCGGCGGGGGGGTGGGGGGGCGGCCCCGGGACCGGGGAGGGGCCGCGGGGGCCGGGCTGGGCGCAGCGCAGAGCCCCAGCCCCCCCCAAGGGATGCTCCCCGGTTCCCCCGGTGCTCGTCCCCGGGCCGGAGCGGCGTGGGGTGCGGGCCGCCCCGGGCTGCAGCCGGGACACGGCTCGGTGGGCTCGGGGTGAGGGGTGCGTGGGCGGAGCGGCGCACGGGCAGCGCCGGGCGTGGGATGCTCCCCCGGGCATCCCCGGTCCCCGCGCAGCCCCCCCGCAGCCCTGGACCCTCACAGAGCCGGCCCAGGCGCCCCTCGGCCGCGGCGTGGCGGGGGGGGGGATTGGAGCGGTGCCCACCAGCCCTCCCGCAGCAGATGTGGTGGCAGTTTGTAATCAAGCTGCAGATTAAGGCCCACGGGTTTCGGGATTGCCTGTCTCTCCTGTGCTGCAGAAGACGGGATTTAGCCTCTGTCTGTTCCCAGACATCTCCAGACACTCACGCGGGGGACGGAGGGGGCTGGCAGCCGCGTGGCCTACATACGGTGCCTGCCCCATGGGCCCCACGATGCCCCGTGTCCCCCCAGCTCTGGGGGAGCCCCCCTCTCCCAAGAGCCCCATGCAGGACCCCAAGCCCAGCCCTGAGGGGTGGCGATGCACTGGGTGCCACTGGGTCTGAGCAGGCTCCGGGTGCTGGGCAGGAGCCCGGCCTGGCCGTGCCGGCTCACACCGTTGGCACGAGGTCGCTGCCCCCCAGGCCCAGCACCGGTCAGCGTGGCTGTCACCTGCGGGCAGCGGTGCCGGGGCCGCTTCCTGCACCGGCAGGCGAAAGAGGGAACAGAAAACCCCAGGTGTGACGGGGCTGTGGGGCAGCCAGCGGCACACCGGGTGTGCTGGTACCGACTGGGAGCTGGAGCCCTGTGCCAGGGCTGCACGCACTGGCCCTCCTGTCCCCCAGACCTTTGCAGCGCCTGCGGGTCCACCCCCAGGAGAGGCACAGCCCCACCTGGCCTTATCCTGACACCCCAGGGGTGCTGCCAGCACCAGCCACAGCCCTGCGTCCCGTCCCTGTGCTGGATTGAGTCTGTGATGGCCCCAGCGGGGGCACGCAGGGTCCCTGCTCTGCCCCCACAGCTGGTCGTAGGGACATTTGCCCCAGGACTCTCCTCCCTCCCCTTCTCCCAGGGTGCAGAATGGCACCCCCAGAACCAGCACAGGGCGGACGTCTGCAGCCAGTGTTCTTGCACTGCAGAAAGAGCAGAGGAGGGGGAGAGACCCCCCAGCAAAGAGCCCTGGGGACACCCTGGGGGCTGCGCTGCCTCTGCCCAGCCGCTCTCTAGCCAGGGCACAGCACCCCCGGCCCCGCTGCACCGCGGGCACCAGCGGTGAGTTCCTGGGGCCAGCACGGACCCTGCCTGCATCCCATGCATGGCTGGAGGCAGCAGGAGGGCTGAGGACAGAGCCAGGATAAACCACAGCAAAGACGGCTGTGGCGGGGAGAAAGGGGGATTGAGGGATTACCGCAGCAAACAGCAGAAAGTCCGTTAAAGCTGGGGATCAATATGCTCCCCCCTGGGGAGAGGAAAGTGGGGCCTCTGCCCCACAGGAACTAACCTGCCCCTTAATGAGGAGTTGTGGAATTTGTTGTCAACAACCAGCAACACGCCTGCCCAGTGCTGCGAGGGTGTGGGGGCAGGGGGGCACAGAGCCATGGGGGTTCAGGGGTCCAGGGAAGCACTGGGACCCCAGGGCAAGAGGGGTGCCCTGCACCAGCGGCTGCCCCAGTTCCTAGAAATGCTATATTTCCCATCAGAATGAGCCATTCCTGGGCCAGACACGGCTCTGCTGGTCCTGCTGGACCAGTGTCGTGCCTGCGCCCAGCTCAGCGCCAGCACACAGCAGCCCACGCTCCGCTCCTTGGCCCCGCTCCCTCCAGCCTCGCCTCCGGCCCCGCAGAGGCAGCCCTGCAGGGAAGGAGCCCCAAACAGCCTTGGGGTGGGCTGGGGTCTGCAGCACACACGGGGTGCCCTCAGACCCTGTTCCCCCAGGCTGGGCACTCCCAGGCTTGTCCCCCAGCCTTGCGTGACAGGGACTGAGCTGCTATTTCTGTCCCTGGCATGCAGATGCTAGCCACAAAGTAAAAGGTAGAGAACGGGCTCCAGAGCCGGGTCACATCTGCCTCCTCACCTTCCTCCCCAGGGCTGGGCTTGTGCTCTGCACCGCTCTCAGTATCGGGAGCAGCACGTGGTCAAACCACAGGGTGCAGAGCGCTGAGACGCCGACGGCTCCAGACCTGCTGGCCAGGGGGAAAGGTCCTGCCGCGCGATGCAGGAGCAGGTGAGGGGCTGTGGAGCAAGGGCTTCACGGGGGGCCAGGTGGGGACCCCCCTCTCTGTCTCTTCTTGTTGCTTTCAAATGCTTTTTTTGTGAGCTGTGTGGGTTTGGGCTGAAAGGCAAAGCCCCAGGGAACGCAGGGCAGCACCATGTGCTCCAGGTCCAGGTCCCCAGGTCCCAGAGCAGGGAATGGGCTGGGGGGAGCTGCTGGGGAGTCAGCCTGCCCTGACACGGGGTTCAGATCCCACCTGCGCCCTTGGAGCAGATGGGGGGGATCAGACCCGGCCACCTGGGCTTGCTGATGGGAGCCGGAGCCAAACTGCTGTTGTAAGGAGTCAGAGCTGTGCTGGATCCTGACCCCCATGGCAATGGGGTCCCGGCCGTCTGGTCCCAGGCTGCAGCTCTGTCCCTCCGCCCCAGAGCAGCACTGAGAGGCCGGGAGCTGGGAGCACTGTGCGCAGCTGCCTGCAGCCTGTGTGAGGTGGTGGGATGCCCCGGGACCTGCCTGTCTGGGAGCAGGGCCAGGCGGTGTGGGGCTGTGCTGGCACTGGGGTCCCCAAAGCCATGCATGGGCGGGTGGGATCTTTGGACAGATCCCCATGAGCACCTTTGGGTGTTGTGGGGACCTGCCCAAAGCAGTCACCCGGGAATGTCGGCATGGAGCCCCGAGGCGCTGCTGCATGGGGCGACCAGGGCCGTGGGCTGGGTGCTGAGCCCCAGGGGACATCAGGAGCAGCTCCTCCACGGCAGGCGCATGGTTAGTTCGTGGGACACGGTGCTGTGTCGGGGACACCGTGGCTGGGGTCACGTCTCCCCACCAGCTCTGCGCTGCAGGCAGCTGCTCGGGAAGCGCGTGGTTGCTCTCACAATGACTGAGCACGGCGAACCTCCTGCTGCCTCGGGGTGGGTGTGAGACAGAAACGGCTCCGAGCGTGGGGCCGAGGGCCGCGGCACGCCCGGGCTCCCAGCAGCAGGGCTGGGCGGAGGAGGGCTGCGCTGGGCGGGCTGCGCTGGGCGGGCTGCGCTGCACCTCCGAGCACCCCTCGCTCAGCCTCCCTCTGCACAGGTGACCCCCAGCCCCACCCCGATGGAACCCACCACCACCACCGACTTCTACCCCTGGGAGGACGGGTACGCGTGGGAGAACGGCATGCTGCCTGAGCTCTGCGAGAAGCAGGCGGTGCAGGGCTTTGCCCGCAGCTACCAGCCCGCTGTCTACCTGCTGCTCTCGCTGCTGGGCACGGTGGGGAACGGGCTGGTGCTGCTCACGCACACCCGCTACCGCCGGGCACGCAGCATCACCGACGTCTGCCTCCTGCACCTCGCCCTGTCCGACCTCCTGCTGCTCCTGACGCTGCCCTTCGCCGTCACTGACACGCTGCAGGGCTGGTCCCCGGGCACAGCTGCCTGCAAGGCGCTGCAGGGCCTCTACGCCCTCAACTTCTACAGCGGCTTCCTCTTCCTCACCTGCATCAGCGTGGACCGCTACGTGGCCATCGTGCGGGTGCCGGCTGCCTGCCGCCTGCGCCCGCGGGCTCGCCGCCGGGGCTGGCTGACGGCGGGGCTGGCCTGGCTGCTGGCCATGCTGCTGGCACTGCCCCAGTTCATCTACGGCCAAGCGGAGCAGCACCAGGACCTCCAGCTCTGCCGCGTCGTCTTCCCCCGGGAGGTCTCGCGGGTTGCCCGGGGGGCCACCAACCTGGTGCAGGTCGTGCTGGGCTTCGCGGTGCCCTTCCTGGTGATGGCAAGCTGTTACGCGGCCGTGGCCCGGACGCTGCTGGCGGCCCGTGGTGCCCAGCCCCACCGGGCGCTGCGGGTGCTGGTGGCCCTCGTGCTGGTGTTCGTGGCCCTGCAGCTGCCCCACAGCCTGATGGTGCTGCTGGACGCGGCCGAGCTGCTGGCCAGCTGGGAGATGAGCTGTGCTCAGAGCCGCCGCAAGGACCTGGCGCTGCTGGTCACCGGCGGGCTGGCGTACCTGCGCTGCTGCCTCAACCCCCTGCTCTACGCCTTCCTGGGCCAGCGCTTCCGCCGGGAGCTGTGGCTGCTGGCCAGTGACGCCGGCTGCGTGGGGCCCCTTGAGCCGCGCTGCCCCAGTTGCCCCAGTCCCCGCCGGCGGACATCGCTCTCCACCTGCCAGGACGTGGTGTAGGGACACGGTGCCCATGGCTGGGGCAGGGCCAGGTCCCCAGGGGCTCGGCCCCTCCGTGGCTCCCCGGGAAGAGCCCTGTTCGTGCACGCACACACCCCGGGCCTGGCAGGGCCGGCACCGGGCAACACACACGGTGCCCGCACATGTGTGGGCAGCGGGAAGAACAGCCCCGCAGTGCCCACGCGTCCTGCAAGCGTCTCTGCTGCCCAGGCGGGACCCCGCAACGTCACACGAGCTCTGGGGGCTGTGCAATGTCACGCGTGCTGCCGGGAATCGTGCAATGTCATGCGTACTCTGGGGGGGACCGTGCGATGTCATGCATGCTCTGGGGGAACAGTGTGATGTCACGTGTGCTCTGGGAGGACTGTGTGATGTTATGCGTGCTGCAGAGGGCCGTGCAATGTCACGCGTGGTGCGGGGCTGTGTGGTGCCGGTGCTGCGGGGGGGGGGGGGGGGTTGCTGGGCGGGGCTGGGGAGCAGGGATTTGGGGGGCAGCCCCGCTCTCACCCGTGCCCAGCGGCGCTGCCCGGGGGATGCCTGCAGGCGGCAGCAGCACCTCGTGCTTCCTGCCTGCACCCTGCCTGTCCCCTGCCCGCGCCCTGCCTGTCCCTGCCCGCGCCCTGCCTGTCCCTGCCCGCGCCCTGCCTGTCCCTGCCCACACCCTGCCTGTCCCCTGCCTGTCCCTGCCTGCACCCTGCCTGTCCCTGCCCACACCCTGCCTGTCCCCTGCCTGTCCCCTGCCTGCACCCTGCCTGTCCCCTGCCTGTCCCTGCCTGTCCCCTGCCTGTCCCTGCCCGCACCCTGCCTGTCCCTGTCTGCACCCTGCCTGCACCCTGCCTGTCCCTGCCCGCACCCTGCCTGCACCCTGCCAGTCCCTGGTCTGGCAACAGCAGAGGTGCCCCGGAAAAACCTGCCCTGGGTCTGGCTGGAAACCCCCTCTCGGGGCAGGACCAGCGCGGCCGGAGGGACTTTCCTCTCCCCTCCTCACTTCCTCCACGAGCTCCTCTGCCCCAGCAGGTCCCAGTCCAGCAGCTCCCACCTCCCACGGGGCCAGGGTGCCATGGCAGGGGCTGGTACGACCCGGACGCCCTTGCCCCCGTGGGGCTGGCACCATGGTGAGTGGCACAGGGCCACGGGCCGGCAGCCCCCCGCGCTGGGCCCGGCTGAAGGAGCGCTCCAGGGTGCCGGGAGCGGGACGGGGCCTGGCGCTGGTGCAGCCGCTTGAGGGGTCGCGGCAGCGGAGCTGGGAGTGCAGGGAAGCACCTTCTGGTCCTGCTAGGGCTGGTGGCCGCTTCCTGCTCGCCCCCAGGCTCCCACGCGGGATTAGCCCAACACTCTGACCGGGAGAAGCCTTCCCAGACCCTTCACCCACTGCTGGGCCGGAAACGTGATTACTGCTGACTCAGCAGCTGCAGAGCCGGGGTGACAGGCCGGCATCCCCCGCCGCTGGCCCTGCCGAGGGGACCGGGGGGCGGGATTCGGGCTCCTGCTCCCTGCAGCCTCGGGCGGCCCCGCTCCCTCCCACCGCCGGCCCCACGACAGCCCCGGGCTCGGCCCCGCAGCCGTGCCACCGTCTCCCCGCAGCGCCCAGCCCCACGCCGGCTCCGTCCCGTTCCGTGGCCGGCGGGCTCTGCCCCGGCGGCCCCAGAGCGCGGCGGAGCCCCCTGTGCAGCCCCCCGGTGCAGCTCCCGGTGCAGCCCGGCGCCGGCTGCGTGGGAGGAGAGCTGGCGGCCGGCGCGTCCTGCGCACCGCTGGCTCCCGGGGACGGTGTCGGCCCAGCAGCTGCAGCGGAGCCAGAGCCGCGGCGATGCGCTTAACCCCTCCCGCGGCTGCGGGAGCGGCCCCGGGCTGCCACGGACCCGCCGCTGCCGGGCCGGGCCCGGGGCTGCGCCGGGAAGGGGCCACCGGGGCCGGGCCTGCCCGAGCGCGCTGCCCAGGGTGCTGCCCGCCGGCGCACGGCTCGGCACCGGGACGGCCGATCGGTGCTGCGGCGCGGAACGTGGCGCCGGTGCCGTGGGGCAGCTCGACGCCGCGGCCCGTGAACCTCCCCCGGTGCGCGGGGGCCGTGCCCGGTGCCAGTGCCCCCGACGGGTGCAGGCGGAGCCCGGCGCACTGTGCCGGCGGGGGCTCCGGGAGCACCGGCGCTGCCGCCGCCCGGCCGTGAACCGCGCCCCCCTCCCCGCCCCGCTGGGCGCGCGCCCCCGCCCGGCTGATGACGCAAGCGGCGGCCCCGCCGCCCCGGGCGCGCTGGCTCCGCCCCGGGCCGCGCGCGGCGATTGGCGGGGGCCGGTGACGCGCCCGGCCCGCCCTGGGCGGCGGCGGGGCCGGTCCCGGCGGTGGCGGCCGGTGCGCGGCGCGGGCGGGCGGCGGGCCGGTCCCGTCCCGTCCCGGTGCCGTCCGGTGCTGGCGCGGCGATGCCGTTCCCGGGCGGGCTGTGGTGGCTGCTGTGCTGCCGACAGGGCTTCACGCTGCTGCGGCGGGACTACGGCGAGGCGGACCGGGAGGCGGACGGCGAGGCCGAGGAGGAGGAGGCGTCCTTCGAGCTCCGCGCCCAGGGAGACCAGGTGGGGCCGGCACCGGGACGGGCGCCGGAGCCGCGACTGGGCACGGCGCGGCGGCACCGGCGGAGCGCGGCTCCTCCCGGCTCGGCACGGCCCGTCGGGCACCGGCCGCCGCGCTCGGCGGGGCTGCCCCGGCCCGGCCCTGTCCCCGCTGCCACGGCGGGCGCGGCCGCCGCCCGCCCCGCCACCTCCCCGCCGGTCCCGCCGCCCGAGCTGCCCTTGGCGCGTCCTCGCCGCCGCTCGGGAGGTCCCCGCGGGGCGCAGGGGGGGCTCGGCCTGGCGGGTGGGGGGGAGCCGCTTCCTCGGGGCAGCAGCCGGGCGGGCGCTGGGGGTCCCGGAGCCCGCGGGGGACAGAGCTGAGGGGTGCGGGGGCCGCTGCCGGCTGGATCCCGGTGCGGGGCCGCCGGTGGTGCCGCGACGGCGGGACGCGGGCACCCGTCGGGTGTTGGGGTGCAGCCGAAGGCAGAGCGCTGCCCTGCCTGTGCCTGCTCCTCGGGGCAGCGGCCGTGGGGCTGGCGGTGCCGGGTCCCGTACCGGGGCTGTACCTGCCCCGTGCCGCTGCCGAAGGCACGGAGGGGCCCCGCGGGTCGCGTGCCCCGGGACCGGCCGGAGCAGGCCGGGGCTGTTCCCGGGAGCACGTGCCGGGCGCGGGGACCGGGCCTGGATCTCCCCGCTCCGGCTGCTTCCTCTGTTTGGGGAAGCGAAGTGGCGGAAACTGGCTCTTCCTCCGGCCGGGCTGCGTGGGGACTGGCTGATAGCGCGGGGTGGCCGGGGAACCCCGGCTCCCAGAGCCACGGGGCCGTGTCCCTGCCCGGAGGGGACATGGCCGGTGGTGACAGCCCTGTCCCACTTGCGGCGGCCCCTCTCCCCCCGCCCGCCGCGGGGTCTGCAGCACGGCCCTGCTGCTGCTGGGCTGCCCCGAGCACCCCGTGCCAGCCATCCCCTGGCAGCGGGCCCCCCTTCCCCGGCAGCGCCAGCCCCACGGGACAGCGGGGACAGTGGGAGGGCTGGAGCTCCACTGGCAGTGCCAAGGGCACGGCAATCGCAGGAGCTGTCTTCGGGCTTCCCGCACCCCCAGGGCTGCGCTGGCTCCGGAGGCCTGGGCTGGCGTGGGCGGCTGTGACGCCAGCTCCCCGGGGAGCCCTTGGCTGTGGCCAGGGGGTCCTCGGGAACCCGCAGCTCCGGCCGCCCCTTCCTGGGAGCGTGGGAGCAGCTACCCCGGCCTCGCTGCGGTGGCTCCTCTCCTGTTTATTTATATCCCTGAGAAGGAGCTGGCCGCCACCGCCGTCTCCTCCTCCCGTGGGTGAGGAGCTGGGCACTGTCTCTGTGCAGGGGTGCGCGGGGCCCTGCCGCGGCCCGGCAGTGGGGTGGTCGCTGGGGGATCTGGCCCTGTGCACAGTGCTGGCGCTGCACAACAGGTGCCCTTAATGCCACGGGTCAGCAGCGCCCGGCCCTGCCTCGTGGCGCAGCCGTACCTGCAGCGGCTCCCCACTCCCCAACACTATTTTTAGCGGCTGTCTCTTTTTCTTGGCGCTCTGTGGCCCGCTCTGGCCTGTCGTGCCTCGGGCTGTCCCGCCGGGCTGCAGCTGGCAGAGGTGCCGGTGCCTTTCCCGGGGCAGCATCCGCCAGCGCGGCTGCATCCCCGCAGCCCGCTCTGCCGGGGCGCCCTGCCCGACCCGGTGCCTGCCCGTGCCTGGGCTCTGCCTCATGTCCCAGCACGTGTGCCGGGGTCAGCACGTGAGCGGCACCGTCCATGTCAAGTTGTGCCGCGCGAGGAGGAACCAGCCCCTGTCCTGCTGCAGGGCCAGGGACTTCCCTGCGCCGTGTCCCACCACCGCGGGCAGGAAGTCAGCGGCCCCATTACAATGGGACTTTGTGCCGTAAGCGTATTACTCAGCACTGACCTTGTGCAATTCTGCACGGTATTCAGCCTGCCGGGTCAGCCGAGGACACGCAGCCAGCGTGCCCGCAGGCTGCCCCCGCGCCCCCGGGGTGCCCCAGCTGCACCCCTGACTCTTGCCACGGCCCCGGGGGCACCGGGGCTCCCTGACCTGTGGTAGCAGGACGTGAGCACGTCCCTCTGGGCCTGGAGCTGGGCTGGCGAGGAGTCACTGGGGGGACGCTCGGGTGTACCAGGCAGGGACCGTGGGGCTGAGATGTCTCCTTCCTCCCCAGGGGTCCCTGGAGGTGAGCCTGAGCCAGCCCACTCGCAGCAGCAGCGGCTCGGAGCGGTGAGTGACCCCCTGCCTCCGGACTGCTGGGCATCCCGTCGTGTCCCTTGTGCGGTGCTGCAGGAGCTGGGGGCCTGGCACGCCATGGGACGCTGCACTGGTGCCAGTGTGTGCCGTACCATCCTGCCCATGGGGCCAGCACCGTGCTGTGCCGGTCCATCGGTTGGAGCAGAGGACGGCAGAGCCAGGACTGCTGCACTCCGTCCCCATCCTTGGTGCATCCTCGG